GATCTTTGATTTCTCAAGTTCTGCTGGGATTAGATGAAGAGTATAATCCTGTGGTAGCAACGATCCAAGGAAAACGAGGCATTTCGTGGCCTGAAATGCAAGCCGAATTGTTGGTATTTGAGAAGAGGTTAGAACTTCAGAATTCTCATAAAAATACAGTATCTTTTAACAACTCTGTTTCTGTGAATATGGCTAATAGTAGCAGAAGTGTAAGTGGTGGAAACCAACGTCAAAATCAAAACTCTCGGCCACCATTCAACAACAATCGGGGGGTGGTCGAAATCGAGGTAGAGGACGGTGGAACAACAACAATAGTCGGCAAATTTGTCAGGTGTGTGGTAAACCTGGACATTCAGCACTAACGTGCTACCATCGATTTGATAAGGAGTACAGGAACAATACACAAAGCCAGGGTAAAAACTTCAATGGCGACTCTAACCAGGGGGTTAACAACAACTCTGGACAAGGTACATCTTATGCCTTCACAGCAACCCAAAATAACAATYCTTTTTTGGCCAATCCAGAAACAGTGATAGACCCGAATTGGTATGTGGATAGTGGTGCTTCAAATCATGTCACCGCCGACTACAATAGTATGGTTCMWCCTACTGAATATGGAGGTATGGAAAGAGTTACAGTAGGTAATGGCGATAAATTAAAAATATCTCATGTTGGCAAATCCTGTTTAGTTTCTGACGGTGGGTTGGTCATGCTTGAAAATGTGTTGTRCGTACCTAACATAGCTAAAAATCTAGTTAGCGTGTCTAAACTCGCTAAAGACAATAACGTATACCTTGAATTTCATGCTGATTCTTGTCTTGTAAAGGATATACGTTKRGGCAAGGTGGTGCTGAAAGGGGCTCTKAAGGATGGACTTTACYGYCTCAATAYTGTTGGAGTAGTCAYTGGGAGTACTTYGACTCCAGTTGACTGTGGCTTGGAGTTGGCTGCTAATAAAACTATTTGTTCTGTGTCTCTTCCCAAATCATCCAGTAGTATAAATGTTGTGSTATCYAAGGAYGTTTGGCATCGTCGACTTGGACATCCGTCTTCTCAAGTTTTTAGAAGTTTAATTAAACGTTGTAAYCTGCCCTTGAAAGTTCATGATAATGTCAACTTTTGTGAAGCATGCAAATATGGTAAATCTCATRGTCTGCCTTTCCCTCTATCTAGTTCACAAGCTACTGCTYCATTCATGTTAGTGCATACTGATCTATGGGGAYCTGCACCTGTTATGTCAYCTGATGGGTATAGATACTATKTTCATTTTCTTGATGACTATARCCGATTTGTATGGATTTATCCKTTGAAGTTAAAGAGTGACACACTTTCAGCATTTAATCATTTTACTACTATGATCAAGRCTCAATTTGGCAGCCATATTAAAATGTTACAGTCTGACAATGGAGGAGAATATAAACGAGTCCATCAGTTATGCCATCAGTTGGGGATACAATCCAGATTTTCGTGCCCGTACACTTCTGCGCAAAATGGTCGAGCTGAGCGTAAACATCGYCATATTGTTGAGACCGGTCTCACTTTGCTCGCTCAAGCTTCCATGCCTCTAAGTTTTTGGTGGGAGGCCTTCCTGACATCAACCTTATTAATCAATGGTCTTCCTTCCCCTCTGCTTAATGGTAAGTCTCCAATGGAGTTATTGATACAACGAAGTCTTAACGTCTCCGAGTTGAGAATATTTGGGTGTGCATGCTATCCCTTTTTAC